TATTAACGGCGTTAACGCAAACCCATTTTAACGTGATTAATTTTTTTATCGCGAGATTAAAAGTCTTTTTGATATAGCGGTGGCAGCGGTTTCAGGACCGCAGTTCTAGGATCCAGGTGGTACATAGTATCAAGATCCACCTATTATCTTAAGTCTTGTTAGAAAAAAATATATATATATTTTAACAAATAAGATTATGGAATAGAAAAGCTCCTGCAGCAGGTGGATTAGAGCAAGTAGCATCAACTACATGACACAATTTAAAAGATTAATATTACACTTTTACTTAAAGCTCACTTTAAACCACCATCGAGTATTTGTATCATATTCCTGTCGCGGTTTAAAATGGTTTTAAGTCAATAAAGATGTTGAAATATGTTATATTTAGCATTATATATGCAGCTAATGGCTATACCTTGCTTAGCAATACTGTAAACATTCTTTATTCATATGAAAATATCCTAAATCGCACGAAAATTACAGACAAAACATACTCGAAATCGTGCATTTATTAGTTTCTTTCAGGTGAAGAGATGTGTCTTAGCTTTGTTATCACGGAGGTCAGAATGAGGAAGTGTACACAGCATACACATGAGCGTCACGTTGAACCACGTGAGATGACAGCTGTATAGCGAATAACAGAGCGCTGAGATCATAACTGACGCAGACGCTGGCGGGTGCTGTATATTGCATGTATATGTGAACACAAATAAACCGGAGAAGACGTGAATGACTGCTTTATAAGTGATCATTTCTATTCAAAATAACGAACTTCACAGATTAATAATTTTGCTCTCCTGTCATAAATTAAGAAATTAATGTCACTGCAAACCAGTTTTATAACAGAGTCTTAAATCTTTCTAATGATGCTCAGTTTGTCCAGATCAAATAAGTAAGAGTGTGATGTTTTAACGAATAATGAATGTTGAACAACAATAATCTGGGGCCATCTGTGATCTTTGCCGCGAAAGGGGTTAAATGAGTGTTTTTGGTGATCCAGTTCGGTTGGTAGCGCTGAAACAAAAAAAACTAGGGTCCTGAAACTGGGGTCCTAGAACTGGGGTCCTGAAACTGCAGCCTCCGGTTGTGCAGGAATACCCTTCTCACTTTTGCCACTGTGACGATTACCAGCGCGGCAAACTTTTTGGCATCCAAAAAGTTTTGAAAACTGGCGTAACGCCGCGCATTCCGCGTCCTGTCTGAAATCTGATCTAGCTAGAGATTATTTGCTCCAAGTAAGAATGTTTTAGTGTGAAATTGAACACAGTGTTGTCAATGTTGTTTTCAATAGAAAACATTTGCACTTTTTCATGTTGATAAGAGCATTAAAATGAGAAAAAATAATGGGACAAAAAGAAATCAAGAGACATTTAGAATAGATAAAAATGTGCGATTAATTGAGATTAATCGCGATTAAATATTTCGTTTGACAGCACTAATATATATTTTTTTTAAAATTATTATTATCTACGTGAGAGCTACGAGTGGCCTTAGGGGCGGGGTGGGGGGGTTGACTGGTGAGGGTATATGTGCGGAACTGTTCTGTTGATTTCTTTTTTTTCTCTTTGAGACACCTTGTCTCATTTTACATCTGTTGTAACACCCTTTATATGTCTGCAGAAAACTTAATAAAAAATAAAGAAATAAAGAAATAAAAGTTTTGTTTTGTAAAAATAAAAGTAACTAAATATTGCAACTGTTTAAAAACGTCATGTAATAATTTTACTTGGTTACACAACTTTTTTTTTTAGAAACATTAATTTAACCTCCTGAGACCCTGCGGCCTCATATGAGGACATTACATTTTTGCCTCTTGACACAATGATAGTCAAATTTGTAAATCTTAGACATGTTGGCCACATTTAGGGGCACTGCCCACACCATCTTGTAGTGATATCACAACATTACACCAATGTCAGTGAGAAGAAAATGACCCTAACCCTAACACTTCTACACCAGTTCCCGAAAGAAAAATGACCCAGGTAAAAAATCTATTTAAATTATATGAATGAAACAAATGTATCTATGTACAATACTGTCTCTGTCATCATATGGGGATTAAAATTTGACATATTTTAGTAATAGTAGCACTCTAGGACATCAGTGAATATGAAGTACTCGTTTGAGGACATTGGGACTATATTACGTTATCCCCTTAACTGTCACCGTCCCACGTGGGACGTTTGCCCATATATATTTAGAACAATAATATCTTAGTAAAAACCTAAAGTAATATTGACAAACTAAATATCATTTGAAAGCTTACAAACTCTAGTTTTCATATTTGGTGGCTGTTTTTTAAAAATAAATTACAGAATAGCAGTAATTTATCAATTTGCAACAAGAATATTTCATATTCATTAGGTGTGTTTAGGCCTTTATTTTGAAATAGAAAAAAAACATGAAAAGTCATGAAAGATTGGTAGAAACCTCAGTTTGTTTTCATGCCAAGAGTTCAAAAGATAACACTAATTAAATGTTATGAGAAAAAAAGGTCTGAAAATTTTTAGAATATAAAGAAATATATTATGATTTCTCGATTTGTGATGCAGCAGTGAGCTATAATGTGCTCTTTTTATGTTTATTAGAGGTTGAAATCAAATCAAATACTGCCAAAACACCCATACTATTTCTGAATAGGATGCATACTTAATAAATTGTATGAAATTATGGAAAGACATGGTTCAGATCACTCAAAACATATGAAAATGGAGACACCCTTATATGGTCAGTAAGGAAGCTGGCTGTCCATAGTGAAAAAGTTTGGTACTACGCCCAAATAAAATCTTACTGAAAGCTCATTTTTTGAGATATCAACCTAAAATTTGGAACACAACTTGTTTAGATTTTTGGCTTTAATTTTCTAGCAGTTTTAGAGTAAAATATATTTTAAAATATAAATAATTATATTTTTACATTCTATATTTTCATAAACTCAAACTTATATAACTTTTTTTCTGTTTCACTTTCATAATTTATTTCACTTCTACAATAATCTGGCAAATGTCTTCTTAAAAACAAGACCAACCATATGTCTATATTCCAAAGCATTCTTGAATTACAACCATTTTACAACCACAAGTTTTTTTTTATGGCTAGTACTGTGTCCTCACACGAGGACATCATATGGTAAATCATAGACACACTGTCCTCACATGAGGACATCATTTTAGTTATTATATTTATTAGGTCCTACTTATCCCAAATAGCAAGAACAATTATAAAATGCACACCAGGCAAACTCTCGGGTCTCTTCTTGAAAATTGTATGTATGTTTCAGAACCGAAACCAGCATGAATAAGACTACATTTCTAAGAACTTGTTTTTTAAACTAGATTTATAAGAAAAAAAGAAAAAGATCTTATTGAGTATTGGTCCATATGCTTTTATTATTATTTCAAAACAGCTGTCCCTCTCCTTCTCCCTCACCCCTCAACTGTTTTACAAACTTTGACTCTGGCATTTGAAGAAGAATATGCAGGCCACTGCCTCTTCACAGATCTCTGCTTTTGTCCTCATGCTCCACCGTCTGTGAAAACACACACTTGTGCAAGCACGCAGATAGAGCAACATGTTTTATGTTAAAAAAGAACATATATAGCCAGAATAAACTGTTTAAACTGTTCCAAAAGTCCCTTGACTAAGGCGCCTGAGATGCAGGTCTTATGCTCCACCTAACACACACACACACACACACACCTGCATCCAAAAGCTCTTCTCTGTCCACTACGTAGTCTCAGCTTTGGGCGGTTGTTTCCTGAGGCCTTGTAGAGGGTTTAGACTCTTATTCAATCCTGTAACTGTTACATCAAAGTTTGCACACTCTTGTCCATACTGATATGTACCTGTGTGCCTTATGAGATGAGAGTAAAATTGAAATTGTCTTGAAAACTCTTCAATATAGATTTTAAGGATACATAATACATGTGCCTTTGTTTGCAATGAAAGTTTCAGTCTGTGGATTTTGAGTAACTTCATTGTAAATTAATTTCCATAATGTTTCATTGTTTTTTTCACAGCCGAGCCAGGACCAACCAGTAAATACAGGTGCAGTGCTCATTGACAGTTGTTGTTATATTTTGTTGATTAGTTTTGTCGATTAACCTTCAGTAAAGTTGTGAATAGTTTTAAACATGTTATTGTAATACTAAAGATTGGTCTCATTTGTCACCTTAAAATTTTATTAGGATGAGGCACAACTTTGGCCAGCAGAATGTGCAATTGACTCCGTTATCACGTGGATTGCACCTGTGTGTTCACTAATTATGAGGAAAATGTAATTGTTGCTAAACTGACAGACACCCAGATGATCATTATCTGTGCTATCAGATAATTGGCAAGGGTAGAATATCTAATTGATGACAAAAAACGTCGATTATAACGGTTTCGGTTGGCTTAAAATATTGTATGCTGCGATGAGGGTTACAGTTAAACTACACGCATTTAAAAAGAAGAAAACAAAACCGAGCGCGCTTAACGGACAGGCTCTGACGCTCGAGGAGAGCGAGGAGTTTAACACACGAGTAGGAACCCCGTTAATCTGCGCTAGTCTTGTGAAAACGCTCGCCCTCTGTCCTGTACACTAGGACAGCCTGGGGAACGAACCACCCGCGCGCGCTGTGCTTGAAGAAATATCTTTTCCGCCACGTTCATCCCGCTATCGGCTCAGGAATACAAAGTTGTATCACTTATAATCGACTGAACACGTTTTCTGACAGACACATCTGTAGTTTTTCGCCTTTTGAGTGGCACTGGCTTGGATATACACGCGCGCGACTCGCGCCCGTTCTCTTTTGCTACTTCGTGTGGAATATCTGAGGACTTTTTTTAACGCTCCTGGAGGAAAGAAAAAACAACTTTGTGGAAATTTGAGGAGTTTATTTATTTATTATTAGTATTATTATTTTCTTATACGTATGATATTGCGATGTGTGTTGCGAGAGTCTTCGCCGCCCCTTTTAGACCAGAATTAGTCAGTGTGGTCCCGTAATAGAGGCTAGACAGTGTCTTCTCGATCTTGCGCACTCTCCTCAGATCCTTTCCCTTTTTCCTCCAAAGGTTTTTTGTCTATATCCATGGAATAACTGAACAGGAAAACGACTGAACGACAAGGTGTCTTGTTTTTTTCCACCGCCTGTAACTGACAGGCGGTTTAGTGTTGGCTCTTCTCCGGAGAATGCTCAATGATCGATGGGGAATCATGAACAGCTCACCGGAACTCGAAGACGGACAGCGGGGCAAAAATCAGGTGTGTCCCCCGCTCGCTTACACTTCGTATAATGAATGTAGTTTTAGAATGAGACACAATAGCTACTCATCTATCTGTGTGCGTGTGGGTACAGAGAGAACAGTGAGTAGCACAATGAGTTGAGTGCGGCTTGTTCCTGTCACTCCGCATAAGCGCGCCCGTAGATCATGCGTGCGGCAGAAAGTGGCTATTTTGTTTCCCGTTTATGCGGGTAGCTGAAGATAAGGGCGCCAATCATGCGAAATGCAGCTGCTCTGTGCATTCGTAGTGATTAATGGACTTTAATGGAGAGTAGTGATTTATAATCTAGTTTCAGTTTTGACTAAGTCTATGTAGGCTATTTACCAGCGGCATTACTGGAACAAGAGAAAAATCTGGAAAGAGAACCATTGAAGCGTATACACACATTCAAACATAATGAAAAAACAAAACACATAGCTATCAAAAGCAATATCAAAACCAACACATATCTCACTCGAGGCTTGAGCACACCCACACCATTACACAATCAACTAGCCTACACAGACTGTAGAGGGAGAGAGAGTAACCAGTGCAGTTAGTATTCAACCTGTTTGTCCCCCTCATCTCATTCTCCATTCATCTCCATGTTTATTCATACTGCAAATGTTATTTTAAAGGTTAAACCAAGAATTTGAATCCACTGTACCTAGTCTCATCTGTGTTTCTCTGTATAGGCCTATAAGAGTGCTGTTCTTACAGTGCACTGTAAAAAAAATCCCTTTGTTTTTACGGAAAAAAAACTGGCAGCTGTGGTTTACCAGAACTTTACCGTCAAAAATACAGTATCAACGTTATTGGTTTTACAGACTTAACTCTAATTTACAGTAATAACCCGTATTTCAATATATGATATAATGTTAATTTCAAACCTATTGAAGTATTAATATTTGTTTTGTACCATTGTAATACACTGATAACCAACAATCATCACAGCAGTGATGAGAGTCATATGATCAAAGCTCATCACAAGCAGTCTTCAACAAGAAAGTTAATACTATTATATAGAAGCTGCACAGTCATTCGCACAAACATTAAACACCATCATGGTAACACACATGAAATTTAAAAAATGCAATAAACATTAATTTAACAACATTAAATGTTCATAAAACCCTAATGCACATAACTGTTTAGAAAAGAACTAAGAAAACTAAGAAGACACAGTTATTTCAACAAAAATAAATCAAATGTGAAGTGTCACCTAGGGAATTGTGGGAATGTCAATTTGCGGGTTTTCACTGTAAATTAGGCTATACAATGAGTTGTTCTTTTTCACTTTCAAAAACTGTAAATTTAATGGTTAAAATATACCGTTAGATCTATCACAGTTATTTACCGTATAGTAAGGAACTTTCTATTAACCAATTAACAGTTTTGCACTGTAGCATTTTTACAGTGTGGCTGAAGGGATCTGATATGATCTTGTCTTTGGATTTAAGTTGTGTCTACTTATGAAATTAGCATCACACAATTTTTAGTTTGTTTCTATTAAAATGTGCCTGCATAGCAGCTGATAAAGGGGTCTAGGTTAGTTCATCTCATTTTGGTTGCCAATTCTCTTTTTTATCCTGTTGGGTAGTTAAGCTCAGATGTTGTGCAGAAGTAACAGAATACATCTAGAATTTCTATGAACTTCAAGCAAGAACAAAATTGGGATCTATTTTTAGGCTTTTGATATGCAAGACAGTTTTTAATCAATAAAGAAGTTCCCAGGATTTTCTCAACACACACACACACACACACACATACTGCAGTGGTGGACTGGAATTGATTGAGATAATTTTTGCTGACAACAATCGACGCTGGACTCCTTACATGCATTTTAAATTATATACTGTATAAGTGACTGTTCCTTTGGAAATTGGTGGGTATTTTGTGTTTGTTTTAGCTGAGGAGGTTAGTAATGAGAATAATGTTACAGAGAACATTTTATGATTAATGTCCCAAATGTTTCCATTGCACATTCATGCTGTCCTAAATTAGTAAAGACTGGGTATTTCTTTCAGTGTATAAAATCAAGTGAAATCTCTAACAGTCTCAAACATACACCTACTCTACTGTATCTAAATGCCTGTCTGTTAAAAAAAAAAAATCAGGAGCATGGACAGCAACAACTGTAAGTTATGTGTCACATCCAGAACCATGGGCAGAACCTGTGGAGTTCGATCTTCTTGAACTGTGTGTTTACAACCAATATAACCACAAGAAAACTACTTCTAATGTAAATAAAGATTTATGCAGTTAGACTTTGGACTCATATAGGTAATATATTGTAGGGCCCCGTGACACCCCCTTTAAAGTGTGAATTGAAATGTTCAATTTGCTACAGTTCATGTCAGGATAATCCTGATTTTTAGACAGTTAGATTGCTTGGTCTCTATCATGAATGTCCTAAAATACCATACGGTCTCACAAGAAAAAAAAACAAAAACATATTGGAATGAAGTATAGCAGAGATTTGGGATGTCTCTCTTATTTCAAATGTTCAGTGCTGGGGAGGCTTCAGAAAAGGTTTGAAAAACTCCTGAAAAATAATGATCAGCAAATGTGCAATACTGCACCATGCAGACTAGACAGACCAGTAATAAACCTCAAATGAATAATACAGTGGCCATAAACAGCATGTGCAGATTTACAAACATTATAGGACACACTGTACTGCTGTAATGAAGAGGGCAGTTTACAATGGTAAACTAAATATACAGCTAAAAAATGAAGTGCAGTGACAAATCACACCACCCATTCACAGATTGAGCTATGAATGACTAATGCTTTCTCCCTATATGGGAAAAAGGGTGGAGACAGAGACATGAAGAGACAAGTTGTGAGGGATGTCAGGTTGGACTAGAAGGGAGTTCTGGGGATTCCTGTTAGCTTTACGCTGCAAGGCAAACACATACATACATGTTTAATAACATTAAATTAGCATTCTACAGGATGACTTCCTGTTGAAACAAGTGCTCTGTTTATGCATGAATTGAAATGCTAACATCTCTTGAATTTGCCTAACATCCTTTAACTGTCTATGTGTGTGGAGTACTTTCTCCATATGTGTCCTTGTGAATATCTTTGTTTGTTTTTTCCTCCCCATGCCTTTCTCATTTTCTAATTCTCCTCTTGTATTTCTCCTCTGCTCTCTTTATCCCTCTCACCATCTGTCTCTTACCTTGCCTCACACTGTCAGTCAACCTTTTACTTCTTTTCCCTCCATCAGGTCAAACACTGACCGTTTCGTCAATAGAGGCCCAGGGGGACATGATCGTTTTCTTTCTTTTATTTTTCCTGTTCTGCCTTTCCCTTGAACCTCCTCTGACTTTCTCATCCATCCCTCCCCATGTTATTGCATTCTCTGACATACTGTATTTGCACACTAACAGGAGCATGAGCTATACACGCAGACACTTGCAAACATCATCACTCAAGACCACTACAATGAAGAATCGAGATTTGCCTTGGTCATGTTGTGCAGAGTATTGTACACTCACATGCTGATGGAACACATGCCCTGCAGCTTTATCAAACACAGAGTGAGTGCTGTGTTAGTACCTGTATTCTACTATCCTATCCATTTCATGTTATGCATTCAGCACCACATGTGACAGTAGCCTCAAGTCATTAGCCATTGCTGAAAAATGTATGAAATGGAACTGTACGCTGTACTTATAGTAATCATAAAACATTTGTAGTGAAATTTTCATAAATTTAGGCTGAGTCACAAATCGTGGGGTTATGCTTTTGAAGTGCACTTATTGCACAGATGAGAAATTATGTAAGTGGCATGTATTTTGCTGTTATTACACTCATTGTTAGATGGACTTCAAAATGCTGTAAATCATGTTCAGAATCTTTTTATCTACTTACTTTTTACCTCACCATGTACAGTACTTCCAAAATTTGGAAATGTTACAAGTTGGTTTTCGACAATATCTCCGTAAATTCTTCATCATTTGCATTGACAAGGTACAACACAATCAATGCACAATCTGGTACACTTTGAGAGTTTAAAATTAAGAGCTCCAACCCATGTTCAGTGTGTAAACTGAACAACAACAACAACAACAAAAAGTCAGTGAACTGACTTCCACCAGAACTTTAAAGGGAACTCAAACCTCTTTTCGCTGTGATATAGGGTCTCGGTCTACATTAAATTCACACTTGTGTTTAGGGAAGCCAAACAATTAGAATATAAAAATTATAGTTTTTATTTTGACGGAAACTGCAGTTGAGTTTTTATTTTGGTGGAAAATTACTGTTTCTGTGAAAACGGGTTTACAAACACGTCTCATTAAAAATTAGTGAAATGCTGTGCTACTTTCCCAACAATGCATGCTAAACTCACAGCACATGCAGAGATGGAGTTCACTGTATTCATTCACTGTGAATTGAGACGTTCTGAGACTGGGAAACACCGGATCACGACAATAGCATCTGGCTGCAGACAAGTGACGTCACTTGCACTCTCGGACTTGCACGCTCAGACACGAGCGCTTCCTCTGCAAGTGACGTCACTTGCACTCTCAGACACGAGCGCTTCCGCTGCAAGTGACGTCACTTGCAATCGACGCCTGCTCTCTACGGAACGCGATAAACGAAACGCGTGAAATTTGACCGCGTCAACACGCAGTGTTTGTCCGCGGCAATTTTTTACGTGTTTCTTTTGAACGCGTAGACACGCTCATTTTGGTCGTGTTAAGGTGTCATTTGTCATTTTGTTGACAGTTTTTTTCAAATTGCTAAAACACTACAAGTGGAATTTGAGGCTCACTCAGTGAAACCATTCACTCATGTACCCAATCTTCAGACCAAGCCTGCAAAAATACAAGGACATTATATGCTTTGCACTCAGTTTGCATTTGAAAAACAAACTATTTGCAAAACTCTAAACACATTTCTCTACATTACACACATTATTCAAAACTAACAGCTCTTGTGTTTCATCTGGGAAACACTGGCATTTAAATGCCACATTACCAAATTAC